CAGGGACGGGGCTGTGCTGTGAGGCCTCAGGGCCAGCCCCTCCAAGGCCGCCTGGAGTTGGCCTGGCCAAGGTGCCTGAACCGCCCCTCCCCGTCCTTGTCTATGTCTCTTTCGGGTCCAGTTCTGCTCAGCACAGGCGTCCCTGCCCACCCTCAGCAGAAGCCCACCGGGGGCCACAAGTCCCCAGCAGTGTGTGGAGGTTCCCTGTGGCCTCGGGGCTGGTGCTGAGACCCCTCTCAGAGCCCAGCACATCGAGTCTGGCCACATGGGCCTCTTCAGGGGCTGCCCCCTCTCCCTGCCGGGCCTGGCACGGCACAGCCGCCTTCCCTGGCAGCCACCCCTCCTCCTCCGACCGTAATTCTCATCTCTCTTCTTGCCTGTCTCAGTTGACCTCGAAACAGCCTGAGAGTAGGGGAGCTGCCTCCTTTTCACGTTCCTGGAGTCAGGGTCAGGACTGAGAGGGTGTGCATGCAGCCGGGCTGGGGTGTAGGCCCACCTGCCCAGCTGCCAGCTCTAACCCCAGCCTGCACCTGTACAGGGCATATAGCCACGACGGGGCACAGGGGTTGCTCTGTGAGTTCCAGTCTAACTCGGGTCCCTTAGCCTGTCCTGCAGGGAGGTTTGGAGGAAGCCAGGCTTTTAGGCAGAGGTGGTGGTGTGACCCTGTGACAAGTGTGTCGACCGGGGGGGCCTCTGATGGGGGAGCCTGGACACGGGTGTGGACTCAGAGACTGGCCCACCTAGGGGCTGGGCTGTGGGGGAGGGGCACCACCTGGGGACAGGGCTGCGTCTGTGTTGGTGCCACCTATAGCTCTGCCCGTGTGGCTCTGTCCGGCGCTGGGGCTCAGGGTCTGAGCACTCCCGTCCCTGCGCGCCTCCCGGGCCGTGCCCCACCGGGAGCTCCTGTCTATGCAGATGCCCTGAGGGTCCGGGAGCCGCCGCGCCCCCGCTGGGCCCTGCTCACCCCTGCCCTGCCCCCACAGGTCCACAGCAAGGACAAGAAGTACGTGTGCAAGGTGTGCAGCCGAGTGTTCATGTCCGCCGCCAGCGTGGGCATCCGCCACGGCTCCCGGCGCCACGGTGTGTGTGCCGACTGTGCGGGCCGAGGCATGGCCGGGCCGCTGGACCATGGCGGCGGGGGCGGCGAGGGCTCCCCAGAGGCGCTGTTCCCAGCCGAGGGACCCTACCTGGAGGACCCCGACGACCCACGAGGGGAGGCGGAGGAGCCGGGCGAGGATGACGAGGGCCTGGCCCCCGAGGACGCGCTCCTGGCGGAAGACAAAGACGACCAGGACTTGCCCCGGCCCCGCAGTCCCCCGGGGGCCCCCGACAGGGACTTCGCCTGGCTCTCCTAGGCCCGCCGCCCACGGGGTTGGTGGCTGCATCGCTTCGTCCACCTGTGTGTGTCCGGTGGGTCTCCACTGCGGGGCCGGGGCCACGCCAGCCCCTCCCTCGGCCCTCCTCCGATTCTCCCTGAACCCACCCCCCACAAAACCAGCCCTGTGGGCTAAGAAGCAGGTTCGACCCCAGCGAGGGGCGCTCGGGGACCAGATGTCAAGTGAGCTGGGGGTGGGCACAGGGCGGGTTTGAGTGAAGAGAGAGTGTGGTCCTAAGTCTCCAGCAGGTGGGGTGGGTGTGTGAGTGGCCCCCATGATGGCCAGCTTAGCTTGGTCACGTGACGGCCCTGTGGCCAGGTCCAGTGGGCACTGCGCAGGCTCATGTGTTGGGACCAGCAGTCCCCAGCCTGAGCAGGTGTGAGAGTTTTGCAGACACCCGGTCAGCACGGCTGGAGCCCGCCCTCCCCTCCGCCAGCAGCCAGGTCACTGCCTGTGGCTGCAGTCGTGGCCCGTGGCAGCCTGTAGAATCCAGGTGTGGTGCACAGAGAGCGCTGCCACCCTCTTACCTCTGGGCTTTGGTGCTTATCACACAACGTGGCTGCAGAGCCCTGCTGGAGGCCAAGGCTCCAGGTGCTATCTTTGGCGGACACAGCCCTAGGGGCTCCTTCAGTGAGGGGACCCTCCGCCCGGTGCCCCCGCCTTCAGGTCACGCCAGGTTCCCTTTGCGAGGGCCTCACTCAGTCGTGGGCCCTTCATAGGAGAGCCTTGTGCTGCTGTGTCCACCCTGGGCTCGTCCCGTCCTGTACCGTCCGTGGCCCAGCCTGGCCAGTCCTGCTGACCCCTCCTGGACGGGCTGGAGCCAGGCTCCTGCCTTTGCTGCTAACACCGGAGGCGGTGTTCCTAACTGCCGTGTGCTGCTTCCGCCCCACCCCCGACGTGGGTCACCAGATTCTTAAGTAGTCAGAGACATATTGAGGTAGTTGCATAAAATTATTTGGTTTGGCATGATTTTTCTCACGCGACAAAAACTATATAGGGTTGCTTTTCTTTTAGCTTGTGGTCAAGTCCTCTTGCTGTATTTTCTTTTTTTTTTTTGAGACGGAGTCTCGCACTGTTGCCCAGGCTGTAGCGCAGTGACACGATCTCGGCTCACTGCAATCTCTGCCTCCTGGGTTCAAGCGATTCTCCTGCCTCAGCCTCCTGAGCAGCTGGGACGGCAGGCGTGCACCATGCCACCCAGCTAATTTTTTTGTGTTTTGGTAAAGACGGGGTTGCATCATGTTGGCCAGGATGGTCTCGATCCCCTGACCTCATTATTCACCCACCTCGTCCTACCAAAGTGCTGGGATTACAGGGGTGAGCCACCGCGCCCAGCCTTTGCTTTGTTTTCAAAAGTGCTTATGTGTTTTCTTTTCCTGAGGGCAAAGGTTCCACGCTGTGTGCTGTGGTGCACTGCCTGGCTTGGGGGTCCTGGAGGCTGCTGGCCAGACTCACAGCTTCAGGATGGTTGCTGCAGCCTGTCTTCCGGTTCTGGCTGCCTCTGACAGCACTCACCCTGGGACAGTCCATCTCTCACCCCTCCTCGGGCACAGGCTTTGGATGAGCGGGGGCCTTCTCCTTCCCGAACGACCTGCCTGCGCGAGGAGACCTACGAGTGCTGAGCTTTGGGGCTGCGTGGGAAGTTTTTCTCTTCTCTTTTTCCAGCTGGTTTACCACAGTGGCTTTTACCCACATTGTCAGGAGCACCAGCTGCCCTGCTCCAGGAAGGCTGGACTGGCGTGGGTCCTGTGGAGAGGGGTGCTCAGAGGACTCCAGGTACCTGGCAGGAGTCACGGCTTTTGTTGTTTCTAACATCGGCCCCCGGTTCGACCAATGACAGGGCGCCCTGGCTGGAGCTGTCCTCACACACACCCTCGGCTGGGAGGGTGTCACTCCTGAAGCTGGAGAAGGAGGCTAAGACTTTTTTGCACACGGAGTGTGGGGATAGGAGCCGGGGCAAGCGCTAGCCCCTCAGCAATGAGCCCTGCCCACTCTTACCAGTGAGGTGGTTGGCTCTGGCATGAGCCCCCCAGGGACAGCACAGCTTATCCAGGAGCTCCGGCTTCTGCCCTCACCCCAGGCCTCTTTGAGAAGTCTCAGAACTTTGTACCTTTCCCCTGATTTTTAAACCCCTTTTCTAAACAGACTGACTTTCTTATCAAATGTGTTTGGAAACCAGACCTTTGCTACCAACAGATGTCTCTGGGTTTTGTACCCGTCCCCTGCTCTCAGGCCACCCTGCCCAGGACCCGGGCCCGCCTCCCCCTCCACACTCAGGATGTCCTGCTCCGTCTGGCCTGCTCACTCCAGGCGGCCTGCCTTTGCTGACTGCTTTGGGGTTCCCTGTTGGAGCCACAGGGGCATTTTCTTCCCTAAAACCAACACTGTCCCACTGATCCCCCAAGCGTCGGCTGCGTGGCACGGCTCGTTCTTCGTGTGCCGACTGAAGAGTGTGGGAGCTCCAGGCCCCGGGCGAACACATCGGCCTCTCAGGAGGCGTGGAGGGAAAAGACGTATGTAATGAAGGGTTTTTTTTTTATGTGACCGATTTTTTTTTTAAATTGATGTTCAAACAATAAATATTTTTTTATGAAGAGGAAAAAATGTGTAGATTACATTTCACATTTTGTATTTTTTTTTTTTGTTTGTGTCTGTTTGTATTTTGGTGTTTGCAACACCAAAGTGGAAGCCACAGTCCGTCGGGGCGGGGGTGTTATTCGGGGGCGGGGAGGGGGCAGGGACACCACGATTTTTCTATCAAGCTCCGGATCCTGAACCGTTGGGGCTCTCTGGGCTTCGGGGAACAGGACCCTGCCGGGGCTCCGTAGGGACCCGACTCAGAAGACGCAGCTTACCGCTTCCAACTTTGCACATCCTCCTCTTTAGAAAACTGAGAGAATGCAAAAACTGGAACTTTTTGCAATATTATAAAAAATCTTATTTTAGCTCATTCTGTGACATGTGCAACTCCTAAGAAAGCCATACTTAATGGTGGTGTTTATTTTTTAGATCTTCTATTGTGTTTTGTATGCAGCCTTGTAGTGAGGGTGCTGTGTGTGCTTTTCTTAAATATTTATTTTTTCAACATGCTTTCAACCTGTCAATGAAAACAAAACACAAAAAAAGGGCAGTTTGAAGATTGTTGATTTTTTCCGGGGATAACCTATATTATATTGACTTTTTATTACTTACTATGAACCTGTTTGTATTGGAGATGTGTCTAATACTGGGGGGAGAGGTTTTCGTGATCGGTCGGGGGGAAATCACAGCTCTGCGCCTGCTTCTCTGCGGCTGAGGACAGGTTAATGTGACCTTCTCTCCGGTGAGCCTCCAAGTCTCTTGTCTGCCTAGGCACGCTCCCGGCCCGCCTCTGCGTTCTTTCTGTGACGGGATTAGCTTAGACATTCTCGCAAAGCGATCACTTTCAATAAACTGGGAAATTGCTGCTCCAAGCAGAGGCCTCCTGTGTGTTTCAGACGGCATCCTCCTCCCGCCTCGCCTGGGGCATGGTGTGGGGGAGGCCGAGGGGCGACCCCGGCCCTCTGTGGCTGGCTGCCAGCCTCTACCAACTTGCCCACACAGGGTCCCAGCCCCATGGCCTTCCTTGCAAGAGGCAGACAAAGCTTCTGGAAAAACCTCAAATTTTTAATTTCTCTTTGCCTGGTGCAGCCCAGACGTGACACCTGAGCTTTAGAACCGTCAGCCCCAGGGCCCTAGAGCCATCGAGTTAAGTGCGAGTGGGGAGTACTCTCCCCAACACCCTCAAAGTGCATTGGGACTGGCCCCCAAAGCGGGGCCCATAACACCCTTGACAAAACCAGGGGCCGCCAGGGAGGGTGGCTGCCCCAGGGCCCTCGGGGCTAGGGGGACGGCGGTGTGGTTTGGCTTTAGTGCAAAAGCTGGTTTCTTCAGAGGCACTTTGAGTGGTGGGACCCCTCCCGACCTCAGGGGGTTCAGGGTCACCAACCTCCTCCCCCCATTCAAAGCAGACCCTGCAGCTGGTGAAGCCCAGGCCCCCGGGCTCTCCGTGGGCAGTTTCAGCCCCAGGCCCGGGTGCGGCGGGGGGAGAAGGTGGCGGCTTCTGTTCTCAGTCCAGGAAGCGCTGGCAGGCCTTCTTCCAGCGGCAGGCCGTGCACCACAGGTCTCGGCGCTCCATGCCATACACCTTCCGGCACTTCTTGGCATCGCCGCGGGGCTTCCTGAGGGGCACGGGACAGGAGGCTGTGAGACCAGGAGCCTCCCCACCCGGTGCCTGCCGCAGCCCCTCAGCCCACACCCACCTCAGGCTGACTGCGATCCTGGAGGACAGGGCCAGTGAGCAGGCTCCGAGCTCCGTGGGTTGCGGCTCCAGGTGGGCGGGAGTCAGGCCGCCCTGCGGGGAGACACAGCCAGGTCTTCACTCCCCTCTGAGGGCCCTGAGACCCGCCCCCTCGGCCACCTGTGGCCTCACCCACCTGGTACACACGGTCGATGTGGCAGGACTGGGGGTTAGCGACGGCGGTGCTCAGGACGGGGGACAGGGGTGGGGGCCGGGCAGGCGGCTGCAGGGGACGGGGCAGGACCGGGGCCTCCAGCAGCTCTGGCAGCTCCAGACGGGGGAAGGTGGGCGGCATGGAGGCCGTGGGGGACACTGGAGTCAGGCTGGACAGCCCGTCGGTCAGCGTGTCCACGCCGACATCCAGCTCCGTGTAGTAGAAATCCTCCTCACCGTCACTCTGCTCAGGCTCTGCCTGCCTCCTGCAGGGGACACGGGTGGTGGGAGCTGAAGAGGGTGTGGCCCGACCGGGCCTCCTCACCGCCCCCAGCCAGCCCGAAGGCCCTGCCGCACCCCAGGTGCACCAGGCGGATGTGTCTCTGCATTTCGGAGGCCGTGCTCAGCACCTTCCCGCAGCTCTTCCACAGACACTGGAACATGACCTGGGCCGGACTCTGCAGAGACACCGGCTGGGGTCAGGCTCATGCCCACTGCCATGCCCACCCCCCCGGGGCCGCCCCCAGGCTCACCTTCCTTTTCCTCAGGGTGGGCTCCCCGAACAGAAAGTGGGCTGCCTCGGGGGGCAGTGGGGGTGACGGGGTGGACGGAGAGGACTGGTCACTGGCCAGGTCCCAGCCCCAGTCTCCACTGTTGCTGCTGCTGCTGTAGCTGCCTGGGGGCCGCCCCAGGGCCTCCTTCCAGGGCTCCAAGCCAGGCTCTGTGGGGACACGTCCCCCAGAACTTTAGATGAGTCCAGGGAGTCCCTAAACCCGAGCTGCCCCTGTTCACCTACTCCCGGGTGGGCAGAGTTTCTTGGAGGACCCAGCCCCGGGGCTTGCGGAGAAGCACCCCCAGCACAGAAAGTGTGGGCAGCCGTGCGTGGCCAGCCACGTGGAGGTGGGCAGGTCAGGGAGGCCAGTTGGGCGCTGAGGGTGCAGGAGTCCATTTTAGAAAGGGGGCTCCAAAGCACGTCTGGGAAAGGCGTCAGCAGTTTGAGGGCTCTCCTTGCCCCACAGAGACTGGGGGGCTGTAGGTTCTGAGTCCTGTCCCTGTGTCCCCCCGCCCACCCCTGAATGCAGACATCTGAGTCTCACCTGGGCTAAAGGCTACAACCGGGGCCCCCAGAAGGAGTGGACTGGTGGACAGGCTTGTAAGGGCAGCGGCAGCCATGACCTCGTCCAGCCGGGCTTTTCCTGGGGTGGCTCTGGAGAAGATGGGGGCGGGGTGCGGGTGACCCAGCCAGAGCTCTGGGCCCCTACCCTGGCTGGTCCACGTGCAGGCCTGGGCACGCGTGCACACCAGGCTCCCCACTCCCAGCCCTGGGCATGAAGCCTGGCTCCTCCCCCGGCTCAGGTTGCAGAGAGCTGAAAGCCACCGGGAGCCGCCAGAAGCCGGGCCAGGGTCTCCCGAAGCCAGAGTTTGCCACAGCGCGGGACTGGCTCCACTGTGGTTCCTTCAGATCCTAGTGCGGGGCAGGGATCCGCAGCCCGGGTGGAGGGGCGGGCCAGGCCCAGGCCTCCCCCCATCACACATTAACCAGGGTTGCGCAACAGCGGCTGCGGGCCTCGCGCCAGGCCGGGGAGGTGGGAGTGGCCAGCAGCCGGCAGCAGCCGGGGGAGACCGGGCTGGAAGCACGGGCAGCTCCCCAGGCCCCAGCGAGCCAGGCCAGAGCCCGCCCCTGCCCTGGCAGCCAGACCGAGGTGTCCGGCCTGGCAAGGGTTGGGAGGCGGCGGTCAGGAGCCCCAGGGATTCCTGGACAGTCGCCCCACGCCGACCGCGCAGCCACCCCCTCCCAGGTCCGTGCTCTAGCCCCGAGCAGCGGCGGTGCAGGGAGGCACGGGGACCCCACGTCCGGATCATTTCTGCTCCACTCCGGGCTGCAGGGCTTGGGGCGGGTGGCGACGAGAAACCTGGGCCCTGACCTGGCCTGCGCGGGGCCTCCCGAGGGAAGGGACGTCTCTGCCCCCCGCCCCGCGCACCCGAGGCCTGGGGCACGCGCCCCCCGCTCACCTCTGCGCCGGCACCGGGATGTGCGCCGACGGAGTCCGGGGCCCCGCCGCCCCCGCCCAAGGCCCGGGGGCCCCCAGCTCCGAGGCCCGCAGCTCCGATTCCCGCGGCCGCGCGAACTCCAAGCCCGCGAGGCCGCCGCCCACGGAAGCGCCCTACGGGTGGGGCAGGCTCAGCGGAGGCTGCGGCCGCGGGTCGGGGGGGGGGTCCCCAACCTCCGTCGCGGACCCGCTTGCGCTCGGCCTCGAAAACCGGCTGCGGCCGGTGTGGCCCGCGCGGCCCCGCCCCCGGCCCCGCCCCCAGCGCGGCACGGCGGGAAGAGCTCCCCGGCGCCGGGCACAGCCGCGCGAGACCCACAGACACGCGCGGACCGACGCGGCCACCGCCCCCCCGCCCCGCCCCCGGGGGCCCAAAGTTTGGGCGGCACTGGCGCCATCTTTGCGGCGAGAGGAACTTGGCCGGCGCCCCCGCCCACCGGCGCCCGGTACCTGCGGTGGCGTGGGCACCGTCACGGGGGAGGCGCGCGCGCCCGGGCTCTCTGCGCGCAGCCACGGCGCCTCGGCCCGCAGCGCACCGGGGTCACGGCCGGCGGCGCGGAGCGGGGGGCGCTCGGCCTCCATGGGGCGGGCCGGGCGCCGAGGCTGCAGCGGCGAGGCTGACGCTCAGGACGCGGCCCCGGGCCGGGCCGGGCTGGCCGGGCCGCCGACCCCCGCCCTGGATCCGGCCGCCGCCCGCGCCGCGCCGCCCGCAGGCTCCCCGCCCCGCCCCGTCCCCGCGCGCGCATTGGCCGCGCGGCGTCCACACCGAGGCGGGCGGGCCCAGCCGGCCGTGCTCCCGCTGGCCCGCGCTCGAGGCCCCGCCCCGGGCCCGCCCCCCGCCGGGTCGCTCCCGCGCTGGCCTTGGAGGGAGGCCCGGTCCGGCTCAGCCTCGAGGCCCCGCCCGCCGCCGCCGCCGCCGCCCGCCCCGCAAGCCCCGCCGGGCAGGGCCGGCGCCCCACGGGCGCGCTCGCGGAGCTGCCGGAGCCGGGGAAGGGGCCGCGACGGCCCGGCGGGCCTCCCGGGAGCAGGTTACTGTTTAACGCCGACCGCCCACCTCCCCCCGCCCCTTACGTAACACCCGGCGGGCGGCGGAGCCTCGGGGGCAGCGCGGGGTCCGAGTCCCGCTTGGGCGGACTCCATGCCGGCTGCACGCCCCCAGGAGCGATCGGACCCCGTCCCCGCGCTGACCGGGGGTCTGGGCGGCAGCAGCACCGCCTCCGTGAGGCCCGGGCTCCCCCGAGGCCGGGGGGACCGCCCCCCCCACTTCCAGACGAGCCCTTCCCCCCGCCCCAACGCGCGTAGCTTTCAAGAGGAGCCGGCTGCGAGGCTGGCCGCGTTCATCCCGCGATGGCGGTTTATTTAGACTCAGGCCTTCTCTGGAGCCCGGGGAGGCCGCGGCTGTCGGAGCGGCCGGGACGGCACGGACCGCACGGGCCGGCAGCCGGGGGACCTGGGACTTGCGCTGTCAGCTGCGGGCGGGGCGCGGCCCGGCCTCACTCGGGAGGAGGGAGCACGTGTCCTGGAGCGTTCAGGGCAGGGGAGGTCTCCAGCCGCTCCCTAGGCTGGGGCAGCTGGAAGCGGGGGGCGTCCGAGCCCCACACGTGCCGCTGCTGCCCGCGGGGTCCCCCGGCTCCCGGATGCTCTCATACACGTTTTCCAGGGGGCCGCTGTCCACGTCCGGGGCCCTGAGCGGGGGGCTCTGGTAGGCCGGGTCACTGGCCAGGGCCAGAATCGCTCCCTGGCCCTTGGGGTCCAGCGGGTCTGTGTTGGGTCCTGGCTCCCTGCTTTTGGGCTTGCAGACCCTGGAGTACAGGACGTCCGCCTGGAGAGAGGAAGCCGGCGCGAGGAGTCAGCACCATCCAATCTGGGGAGGACCTGCCGGCCCCACCCCCCGGGCCCCACCCGGCCCACCTCACCTGAGCGGCGGGGGTCACCTGGGCCTTCCCCTGCTGTGGCTCCTGGGGGCTGCGGTGGGCCCCCTTTCGCTTCTGGACGCGGGCATACTCAGCCACCACAGGGCTGGCCGCCAGGCTGACCCCAGGGAGGGCCGCCAGCCCCACGTTGGAGTAGAGAGCCTCGCGCCCAACGCACCCGGCGCTGGCTGCAGCTGCCGGCAGAGCCCAGGGCCGCTCCCGGTGTGGGAAGGCAGAGGGGGCTCCCTGCGATCCGCTGATGTCCCTGGACACCTCCAGCCAGTGTGGGCGCAGGAGATCCACGCTGGCAGGCCGCAGGGCTGGGGGTGGGGTCAGGGCAGAGTTCACTCGGGGCAGGCAGCAGGAGCGGGTCTGGGCCAGAGTTTGGGGCGCTCACAGCGAGCCCCGCCCGCCACCCGGCCACCAACGCCCCGCGCTCCGCTCACCCCTGCAGCTGAGCGGGCCCCGGTGCAGCTCGTGCAATCTGGTGTCCGACTTGCTGAGGGAGCAGAGGTGGGTCCGCCTCAGCAGGGACTGGGGGCAAGGAAGGCTGGTCGGTCCCCTGTGGTCCTCACCCGGGTCCCCGGGACAGCCTGGCACTCACCGCTTCCGCTGGCATCGCACTGCCCTGCAGCTTCGCCCGCTGCCTCCGCGCCCGCTTCCTGGGGGCTAGAGCGTCCTCAGGCCTTGGGGGTAGAGGTGGGGGGCAGGGAGGGACAGGGTCGTCAGCCTCTGGTCCAAGGCCCGGTGCGGGGGCGTGTGCAGAGTTGGGCATGCGAACCTGCCTCCAGCCCCTTCCCGTGCTGGGCAGTGAATGGCAGCCGCAGCAAGGCCCAGACAGAACCGGGCTGACGGACATACCTGCGGCAGGCTGTGCAGAGCGCCCACAGCCAGAGGAGCAGGGCGCAGCACCCTAGAACCCAGAGGGCAGGAGGGGCCCAGGACACTTGCAACCCCATCCCGTGAAGCCAGGGCCCTGGGGGCAGAAGAAAGGGGCACTGGGGGCTGGCCGAGGGGACCTGTGCCAGCTGGCAGCCTCACATCTGCACCCGCTGGGGGCTCCTGCGCCTCCCGCTCATACTCTGACTCAGCACAGGAAGCCCCAGGGCCTAGCAGGCCCTGCCTCCCAGAGGCGCCCACCCTCCCTTCTGGCTGGGGCTCCTGGTGAGGTGAGTGAGGGCTGCTCTGCTTGGCCCCTTGGTGTCCCTGCGGGTGACCCTGCTAACACCCAGCATGGCTGTGAGGAGGGGCAGGGCAGCTGTGATCACGTAGCCCAAAGCCCAGCATCGGGGGGAGGCCCTCGGTGTGCGCCACAGGCCAGACTCCACCTGCAGCCAGCCCTGTCCAGACGCGGCCTCCTGGGTCAGGTAGTGCCTCCTCCAGGCCACTCGCCATGGAGCCCAGAACCCGGAGGGGCTGGAGACTGGTCAGCAGAAGGGACCCTGCTGGATCAAGTCTGAGAAGCCATTCAAGAAGCTTTCCCTCTTGCCCTCCAGGCCCCAGCAGTTGGTCATTTCTGCGACTTCCTTGGCAACTCTAGGCCCCTCCTCCCACGGCCACGGCCTCCCATCAGTGAGGCCGCGGCTGTCGCACCCACACTTCTCTCTGGAGGGGCTGGAGGCCGGGTCAGCAGGCAGCAGCAGCTACTGGGGTTGCCAAGTGCCCCCACCCCACTTCTCTCTGGCTCTTCTCGTCTGCCACTGTCTCTGCCAGAGGATCTGTGCCTTTCCTGGGGCTTGGCAGAGCTTCTGGGGGGGTGAGGGTGTGGAGTTTGGGGCCAGTCTGCCCAGACCCAGACAGTGGGCTTCAGCCCTGCCGACTGACCCAGCCACAGCCACATCCCAAGGACTGCCCCAGCAGGGGCTAGCCCCACCAGACCCCAGCGGCACCCCAGGAGGGCACTTGGGGACCTGCCCAGGCACTTACCAAGCCCACGGCCAGGGGTCCTCAGCTCTGCTGGGGCAGGCCAGGAAGGTCTTTGTGCAGCCCTCAGCTGAACGCGACCTCATCACTTCCTGCGCGTCTCTGAGCGCCTCCCTGCGCGTCTCTGAGCGCCTCCCTGCAGCCTCCCACCCTGGGCAGCAGCCACCACCGCAGCCTCACCCACCTGCTGCACCCCGCCCGAGGCCTAGAGGAAACGTGCGTACCTCTAGCCTGCACTGTTGAGAGCCTAACTCACATCCCCTCCACACGTGGAGAGGTGAGCAGAGTTGGCACAGAACACACAGACCAGGTCCGCCTGCCTCACCGAGAGCCCCACGTGGTGGGCCACAGTTCTCCTGCCCCTGCCCGCCGGGTGAGCTCCACCCATCTGTGGGTGTCAGGCAGCTCCACCCATCTGTGCCTGGCAGGCAACCTGGCCTCTGTTCCGCCCTGGTCAGAGAAGGGAGAACGCTGGCCTCCTAGGCCCCTGCAGCCCAGGCCTCTCCCCGAGCCCTGCAGACCCTTCTCTTCCCAGAGGCCCTGCAGCCAGCTGATCTCCACTGAGTGACACTGCGATGGAAAATGCTTTAATGTCCTTGCCAAGGAAATGCCCAAGACACTGGCAGACGGGCAGGTAATTGTCCAGATGGGGCCCCGCAGCCCCATCTCCACTCAGCACGCCCCAGGCCAGCAGGCCAGCCCTCCTTGGGCAACACGGGTTTTCCAGTGGGGAAGGCAGCCCGTGCTGGGTACACCTTCCCCGTAGTGCGTGCGGGGCCTTCAGAACTCAGTCATCCTCTTGTGGGTGTCTGCCTTCCTCTGCTCCTGCTGCAGGCCGGCTTCCTGCGCTCGCAGCTGCCCCAGCTGCCGCTGGGCTCCCGCCAGCTTCTCCTGCAGCTGGGCTGACGCCACGCTATGCCTGGGGAGGGGCCCACCAGTCAGCGTGGCTCCTGGACCACCGACACCCATCCCAAGCTGCCGTGCCCCCCACCCGTCCTCCAACACCCAGACCCCTCCTGGACTCCACCCACCACGCCTGGGTTAGGTGGCCTCCCGCACGTGTCCTCGAGGCATGGCCACCCTGGGCTGCCCTCTGCCCCGAGCCGGGCCCCACACATACCGGCCAGCGTTGCGGGCGAGGGCCTCCTGGATGCTGCTGATGTCCCGCTGGGTCCGCTCGATCTTCTCCTCAGTCTGGAAGAGCTGCAGGCTCAGGGCCCGCTTGGTGCTCTTGCTGGCACGGTACATGTCCTTTCTCCTTTTTCCCGTGGGGGCCACCCCAGCCTCCAGGGCCCCAGGAGCCTGGCCCTGCAGCTTTTCATTGAGGAAGTCAAACACGTTCCGTGGGGGTAGGCGGCCCCCAGGCCCGGCCCCTCTTCCGCGGCACCTGGGGGGCTTGTTGGTGCCAGCCTTGCCAGCCCTGGTGCGCTTCTGCAGGATCTCTGCACACTGGTCCAGCGACTTCCCACGAGGCAGCACCACAGCGTGGATGGGCTCCACCCGGCCTTCGGCGTGTCGTCCCAAACCTAAGGAGGCCCGGGGATGGCAATGCCGTGTGCTGCGGGACCCCGGCTGTGCTGCAGCCGCCCCCCACCTCTCCAGGACAGCGGGCACTCACCCTTGCCAAACTCATAGCCCATCTTGGCGAGGAGTCTGGAGCCTATGCCTCGCGTGTGCACCTCCCAGCCAGCAAAAGCAGAGCTGCAGGTCCCGGAGTCCACGGCGTCCGACCCCACCACTGCAAAAGACGGACAGAGGGCAGTGGCTCCGCGAGCCAGAGGACCGTGCATTGTGACTGGGGCTCTGGCCCATGAGCTCAGCTCCTGGGCAAAACCCCAACACCCCACCTCCTGGGCTCTGCACTGTGTCACCGAGGCCTGCTGTGGGCATGTGACACCAGGCAGAGCTCGTGGCAGTCCCCAAGGCCTGGTGCACCGTGGCCCTTCCTCCACAGCCCTCTCCCGCCCCTGCCCTTCTCCATCTTCATGGGGCTGTGAGCTTGACTCCTCCTTCACTGGGGACATGGGGCTTCAGAAGTCACCAACTCACATCACCGATCCCTGGGTACACCTCCCTGTCTAATTGACCACTCTGGAGAGCTGGACACTGCCCACCAGTTCCCATTCCCAAAACTTCCACCCTAGCTGCCTGGACACAACCTCTGTCTGCTAGGATCCACCAGGTACCCAGGTCCCAAGTCTGAGAAGCCATTCAAAGAAGCTGTCCCTCTTGCACTCTAGGCCCCAGCAGCTGGTCATTTCTGTGACTTCCTTGGCAACTCTAGGCCCCTCCTCCCACGGCCACGGCCTCCCATCAGTGACGCTGTGGCTGCTGCACCAGCACTCCTTCACGTCAAAGGCCACTGTGGCTCTACCCCAGCCTCCACTCATGCTGCTGCACGCCGACCCCACACCGCCTCCCCAGGCACAGCTGGCAGCTGGGCTGAGCACAGCGGCCTCGCTGCAGTCCACACCCTGCCATGGTTTGGGTCGATGGTTGGGGACCCCACCTTCCTGCCTCCTGGGCCCCTCAGCTGCCACCATACCTCTGGCATAGCTGGCGTCGCCCATGCCATCGCTGTCTGAGTCGGAGGACTCTGTGGCTTCTGTGCGCAGTGGGGGAAGGACACTGTCTCCCTCAACCACGGCCTCCCTCAGCAGCAGCGAGTCAAACTTGACTGTGTAGTAGCCGCTGTCCACATCTGGGGGCAGAGACAAACTGCAGGTCAGTATCTCTGACGACAGCAGGTGCCACGGCTCAGGAGCCACGCGGGACATCGGGACAAGGCAGGGCAGAGGCTGAGGGCAGATGTGCTCACTGCGGGCACAGAGCCGGAGTTCTGACACTCAACACAGGCGGCAGGGAGTAGCCACCCAGTAGTAACACATGTGAAGCATGGGAGGGTGTTCCTGGGAGGCCTCCGTGGCCAGCCTCACCGGTGATGCGTGCTGCATGCCAGAGGCCATCCTGGTGCTTGGCCAGACACGCGGAGCCGGCCTGCAGGGAGCTCAGATCTGGGTCCTGGAAGGGGCGCAGCTCATCCACAGAGACCACCTGCCCATGGGAGAACCTGCAGAGACAGCCGTAGCAGGCAGGGCTCAGACACAGGCCACCAGGGGCAAACAAACCCAGGAGCACTAACCCATCTCCCTGGGCACTATCCTAAGGGAGCCACACACACACACACACACACACATACACACACATATATACACTCTCGCAGACATATACACACACACACTCTCATATGCATATACACACATGCATATATATACACACTCAGACATATATACACATATACACTCAGAGACATACACACACATGCATATACACACAGACATATACACACATATACACACACACATGCATATATATACATACTCAGACATATACACACAGAGACATACACACTCATGTGCATATATATACACACTCAGACATGTACACACTCACATGCACATATATACACACTCAGATGTATATACACATGCATATATATACACACATACATACACTCACATGCATATACACATTTACACGCATGCGTATACACGTGTATACACAATCATGTAAACACACATACACATCATACAAAGGGGCCCTCACACACACACAAGCGCATGAGACATGCACATATATGTATATACACACATGCAGTCATACATCCATACACCCATGTACACACACACACACATGCATATACACACACTCATGGGTACACACACATACACACGTGCAGCCATACACGCATACACCCATGTACACACACATGCATATACACAGGTACACACGCATATACACACTCATGGGTACACACACATATACACACGTGCAGTCATACACGCATACATCCATGTACACACACATGCCTATGCACATGTGCGCTCTCACACTTGCATAGACATACACAGGAGTCTGTTGGCATCCATGGGGACCCCCTGTGGACACCAAATTCCAAGAATGCTCCAGTCCCTTATATAAAATGACACAGTATTTGCACACAACCCACGCACATCTTCCCATATACTTTAAATCACCTCTAGAGTGCTTACAGTACCTAACACGATGTCAATGCCACGTAAATAGTTGCTAGGCTGTATTCAGGAATGTCAAGGGAAAAAAAGCCTGCACATGTTGTGTACAGACCCAGCCATCCTTTTATTCCCCCAATTATTTTTGACTCAAGATTGGTTGAATCAATGGATGTGGAACCCACGCATACCAAGGGCTAACTTGTGTGTACCCTTTACGCACATACATGCACTCACACACACGGCCACTGGCATTCTCTCTCTTGGGATGGACCTGGCTGCTCCAGGAGAACATGCCCTGTGTCCCCCCACCTCCTGCTGGAGCCACAGTGTGGCAGCAACCTGTGACAGCAGCTTCCGTGGCCTCACCACTACACAGGAAGCCAGCCACGCCACCGGTTCAAGGCAGATGTGTCGACGGTGTGCATGCACTCATCTGACCGAGTCTTCCCTGACACTAGCAGAACCTAGTTATGAAATAGTGGTGCCTTGACTTTTAGATATCAGTGAACCAGTAAAATGAAAACCAAAACCAAGACAGAGAGAGAATGAAGAGGAAGCGTGGTGACAGACAGGACTGCAACCTTTAACTTTGCCAAATAAAGACATGAAAAGCCGCCACCCACTACTAGCACGCCAGCAGTTCAAAAAGGAAGTTGTTCTAACCCCACAAGGGCAAATGAGCACTGGGTGTGGGGACTCACGCCTGTAATCCCAGCACTTTGGGACGCCAAGCCAGGCGGATCACAAGGTCAAGAGTTTGAGACCACCAGCCTGGCCAACATGGTGAAACCCTGTCTCTATTAAAAATACAAAAATTAGCCTGGTGTGGTGATGTGCACCTGCAGTCCCAGCTCCTCAGGAGGCTGAGGCACAACAATTGCTTGAACCTGGGAGGCAGAGGTTGTGGTGACGGAGATTGTGCCATTGCACTCCAGCCTGGACAACTGAGTGAGACTCTGCCCCCCGCCAAAAAAAAAAAAAAGCAAATGAGGACAGGTCTTCAGCCCCTGACACAGAGCCAGTGTGGTCTTTCCAGTG